GTAAACTGACGAAAAAAACAACTCCAAATATGTCGACTGCACTGTTAAATTTTGTCCTTAACAAACACCTACAGCTAAACTTTAAAACATTCCGAAATTGATATGAAGTGATTTGAAAGGCAGCTGGTTCACGTGCTGGTCACATGAAATCTGTAACACCCTGCGGGGAAGATATAATTTGTTCGACAAAAACACTCGAGCAACCCCTGGCTCTCCGCCAAATGCCTGATTTAATACAGCTACGTCCGTAAAAGTCTAATGCGGTCTATATGTCTGCGTGAAACTGCCGTATATAATCTGCAGATATTTCAAAGGACTTCAAAGGTAATAGCATTTGAAAGCCGACAGAGAACCTCACCGAACCTATTCAATGTACTATATATATTTATTCTTAATCCTTGACAAAATACTGTCAAAATTCACATTTTCCCATTCCCAGGATGCATAGCGGCAAGGGGGTTGGCAGTGGGATTTTACGAAAAAATGTTAACGTTATACTTCTTGTTTTTGTGCCTTTTCTGTTCAAAATTTGGTGACTTACTACAGGTCGAATCTGTCAATAGATACAGTTTTTGTGGTGTTTTCTCATATACAAGGAACATGACATTGTAGACAAATTTACTCCCTACAATGGTAACGTTATACCGTATTTCAATAGAGAAGAAGATAATTCTCCAAATCACAAATGTTGTAGTATATAATAATTTGAGGAGCAGCCTCCATTATTACAGATTCTGTCATCAATGAATGTAGAAAGACCAAAGGAACACATAATTCCGATCCCCCAGCTTCTGGCGCTATGCATCTTGGGAATCAATGCATGGGACAGGGCGAAGTTTTCCTGGTGGACGTGCTACTACTAGCAGGGCACCAAATTAAAGGTGGTCCAATGGCCACTGACGACTAAAATTTAGGCTGGGACAACCAAAAAGACTTTGGGACATTTTTGAGACAATAGAAACATAATGAACATCATAATGTCAGCCCTTCTTTTGTTTATCAGGCACACGTCCCGGCTTTTGGATCCGGAAAAGTCCCCTCGAATTTCCTGTCTACTCTGCAGTTATAGTGCGCCTGGGAGTGAACGTAAGCAAAATAAAGTTGACTTGAAGTTGAGGTCATACAATACTTCCCAAAAAACAGGTTGGGGCAGTTTATCCTAACCTTGGAACAATTGAAATCTATATTTTTGGGACAGTGCTGGGACAATAGGAAGAAAAGTTAATTTCGAGGCCTGTACTAGGCGTTCCGGAAAATTTCAATTCTCCCCACATAGTTCCTACAGCGATAGTCTCTCTACTGACCGGGTCAGGACACAGCGGAGGTCACATGGTCTAGCGGTGAAGGTCAACTTGTAGGAGGAAAGGTCAGATAAATGGCTTATTGGTCAATTTGTTTGTTGGTCAAACATTACCCGTGCAATAGCGCTGGATTGATACAGGGTATACAATCGGTTTTACAATCTCATAAGAATCAACCAATAATCACCAACAATCACATAATACACATGATACATATAACACATTTGCTCCACACACTTTTTGCGGAACTGTCGCAAGGGGTCTGTGCGGCTGCCATTCGGCGCCACCAGGTGACCTCAATACGACTTTCCCCAACCGAAGTTAGGTACCCATTCACACCTGGGTGGAGTTAGGAAAGTCGTGTTAAGTGCCTTTCCCAAGGGCACAACATCGGAGCGCATGTCCAGACAAGGATTCTGACGTCAACATCTGCTTTAAGATCAGGACAAATGCAGAGGTCCGGCGAGAAAAATGTTTTTGTATTTATCTATATCTTGAAATGTTTCTCTCCTTTGAACATACTCTTGGTACCTTGACAGGCTTACATGTTGAATTCTAATCGAAGGTTTGAAAAGATCTTATAATTATTAGTATAAGTGCCCATTTTTACTCCTTGTGCTTTTAGTAATTAGCTCCTCGCCTTTCAGCCATGTGTTTATGAAGTTGAATAGGTTTTTATAGCCAGCGTGTTTGCCAAACACTTAGGAAAACTTCTTAAGTGTCCAACTTTGGGGGTCTGCACTCTATCAGGTGTAAACTATTGTTAAGGGTCGTGTCTGGCACGTAACCTTAACAGCTACGCTTGCGGGGTTTTTGGTGTGACAACAAGTGAAGGAATACTTGTTCAGGTGTGGGAAGGGTCCTGCCTCAAGTCTGCCATTGTCCTCTCAAGAGCTGTGGTATTTACAGAAATGTTCTCTTTTGGGTCGGTTTTCTTGGTGCCTAAACAATGTACAGGTGGTAATTGCGTTTCATGTTACATGCTTACTATAGGCGGCATTATGGAGGATGTCCATTAAATGCGTTATCATATAGTATCTAATATCTGCCCAGAAAAGAACAAGAAACAGGAATTGAGGTGTTCAAATCTCGTATTTTCCAAGACCTATCGTAGAGTGGAACTCGTTGCCACGAAGCATATTTGGTGCATATATCATTACTAGATAGCTTTAAACAACTCCTGCAATTAAGTGTGCAAAAATGTATAATACAGATAGCTGCCGTCGCTAGCTAGAAGGTAAGAAAATAGAAGATTCTTGCGTTTTTTCAGTCAACTTCCTTATTTATCTTTATCTGTACATGTTGCCTCATGGAAGCCATTTGGAAAATACATAGAGTTAAGGAGAAATCTACAGTAAAGGACGAAGCAAGAAATCCACAAAAGCTTTAAATATTTTTTTTTATTCCAACATTTCATGACTAGACATGGTGACAGCAAACTCAAATTATATCAACTTATTTTATGCCGCCACCAACGCAGAGGACGGATACCAGACAAGACAATACTACTGTAAATATTTCACGGAGGTGTATGATCTTTGACGTCTTGTCAAAAAATGGTTTTTAGCGTTATACACACCGTTTCTATGGTCTGCCAGAACCTGACCTAACCGTGTGAGGTAGACAGGTGTTTATTTATACCTTCCCGAACACGCCACACGCCCGGCCGAACTGTTTGTTGATACATTCCCCTAAATTTGCCAACGCAAAGTAACCGTCTGTTTTCACCCACTGCGAGTTAGTGAGCATTCTCTGTCAGTTCCGCTTGGGTGAGTAGCAGGGATCGAAATATCCATGTGCAATGTGAAAAATGCACACGATTGAAAAATGCGCAAGATTTGCATTTAAGGCCATGTTGATTTGATTATATGGATGACATCCGCGCGCGCATGAATTTTCGGCCGTTTCCAAAAAGTTTTCAATCATACTGTAAATCATACAATCAACAGTTGCAAAATGAGCAAATATATACCGTAAGGTACAAAAAAATATTTGAAAATGATACCATTGATACCATTTAATGCCAAAATTAAATGAAAAAGACGAAAATGTGAAGAAATTGATTTGGAGTGTAGATTATTCGCCATACCATACTCTGTCATTTGTTCAACCTTCATGACCACGTAGATTTCATGATGAAAGCAACTTTTTTTTTTTGCAAAACTTTTTTTTTATTCGCACGCTCGCATCAGTTTTGGGGTCCCCAGAGGATGCCATCCATATAATCAAATCAACATGGCCTAAAAATATTTTGGATGTGCAGTTTTGCACCTATAGCAGGGGGCAAGGGTGTGTTGTAGCAAAAATAACGTCGGACTTGGTGCTCCCAGGCCCAAGGACAGACAACACTTGTGAAACAACAGGAGCTTCTTGACTTAATTTCAAGCTTCAATTTTGTTTCCTTTCGGACTTTCAGTTCCCAAAAAAAATTGTCTTCACTAATATGCATATCAATCAATAGTTCTTCCTTATAAACCTCAGCAGCCATTCTCCTGCAGTGTGCATGCTGTATACATGTACCTGAAACGTCTGACCGTTTCCAAAACTGTTTTTTTGCATATCTTATTACCTGGATGTCTACCCTTCACCGACATAAGTATAATTTTACACATAAATTTTAAAATTGCATCTAGAATTTTTGCCAATGTGTAACTTTGTACGTACCTGACAAAAAGTATTTCGAGCCCTGAGTAGTGACGACGTTTTTCGTCGTGGTTGGGGAAGGTGTCGACAGGTGGTTTACACTATCAACGATCAGCTTGAACGTGAACAATAGATCACTTTGTCCCAAAGAGTCCATTGGGGGTTATCAAAGACGTTCTAACTTAATTGAAGCTTGTCAATATTTTCCAAGCCACTTCTTCTTTGGAGTAATACTTGAATAAACGTTTTAAATCATTTTCGTTTGACGAATGTCACTGTCCAACATGATATATGCCAACGTTAATTGAAAAAACGTTGCAGGCTGAACTTGGCGAGTATTATTTTCGATCTCCGATTGAGGTTATGACGATGATTTGCAATTCTTCCTGAGTATTGAGCACTTACTCCACTTGGGAAATCAACCCATTCCATTACACATTCCAATACTGCGACTGCTGACCCTAGCTACTTCTACGAAATCAAAACACTAAAGAAAAAAATGATTTTGGCAGCCGTCCACGGGTTATCTAAGGTAAACCTAGAACTTGACGTTTTTGGTAAACTGAGTCTTCACACCTGACTTGACAAGCAGAGTGTCCTGTGTCACAGCTGTCATCACCAGCAGAGAAAAATAAATTCAGCATAGATTTCAAGTATTTTGTATTTCAATGGCAAGTTTGGACAGAAATATTTCATTTCATTTCACACTTTATGTATGCTACATACCAGCTAGGCATCTGTTGTACTTATATATAAAGACTAGCATGAAAGTACACCTGAGTTGGTATGATTGACACAATTCCGGTGAGTCAATTTCTTTGAGTTGCAGAACAGTTAAATTTCTCATTATACAAATTTAGACAATCATTGTTTGAATTTGTTTAAATCTTTTTGGCGCAGAATGATGTCTTCACCTCAGTGTACCTTTCTTATTATAGAATTGGTTTATTGCAAATGAACAACTGGGAGCCCACAGGTTGAATTGTGTGTTCTAAACATACATAGATACATAGAAAAAAAAACTAGGTTTAACTGTCAAACTGTTGTTGATTGCAGGAGTGCTGCTGAAGAATTGTCGAGCAAGCCGACTGTCAACAGAGCCTTGAGTAGAGGGTGAAGTTCCGGGCGTGTTTGTATATCCCAAGAGTAGACATTGGTAGGTCAGTGAAGCATCGAACATGGCGTCTAATAGACCCATTGCAAGCTGCATGCTCCTTGTTTGTTTGAGCCTTACCGCGGATTTCGCGTCAACGGACTCAACAACATCAAGGCACAGGCATAGCGAGGCGTGTGCGAACTGCATTTCGGGGGACGAGGACGGAGGGAAGGTGACGACTCTGAAAGTCTTCTGGGACGAGGTGAAATCTGCGGTCAAGGACGTTGAGGGGGAGATCGCACAGAAACGCAAAGAAGGAAAGTGGGTTGATAGAAGTGATCCCAAGGACGTAGAGACAGACGCAAAGAACATGAAAAAGACGAAGGTCAGCGGTTCGTGGTCAGCAGTAGCCAGACTGTCCGCCAGAGTGTCCCGCCTTGAAACCAACATGTCGCTCGTACTCGACCAGAACCAGTTCTTGAGGTCTGAGGTCGCCAACCTGTCGGCTCAGATGGGAGGCAAAGGTCAAGGTCAAGGAAAACGGCGACACTTGAGGAACTACATGGAGCACCTTGAAGAAAGCATCGGCTACGTCGAGATGGAACTGGACAATGAGCGCAGTAAGATGAATCGCTACCAGTCAGAACTATCCACCATCGCCGTCAGGCAGGACGAACTAGAATCCAAGATGGCGGACTTGGCCAAAAGAATTACCCAGAAGCCTCGGCGCAAGCACAGTAGTGTCGTCACCAACGCGATTGCTCCCGCGGTCCCGGATGTGTCCGTGGAAGAGGCTGACTACGACTACGACGTTGAATTTGTGCCCGAGCCAAAAGGACAGCGATAGGTTGTAAATCTAACGTTGTTGTGAAACCCAGGAGCATCTCACAGCAAGGCGAGACATCCTGATGTCATGGACAAGCCGTCAGTGGCACACAGAGTGATAAATCGATCTTAAGACTGCAGACTAGGTCATGGCCAAGGCTGTAATTTTCTGTGCTGTAGGAATGAGCGCGTGTCTGTGTTGCGCTAGACAATTAGTGCTTCTATGATCGGTTTCAAGTCTGAAAGCTTTTGACATTATCATGCATCAATGTGATGTCGTCTTGACGGTACATGTACTCATGAGTATGCCACGGACGCTATCTTTGATTCCGAGTTTTCAATTCAGACTCAGATAAGTTAGAAGGGATTCTGGGAGGTTGAATTCGAAGGGTGTTCAGAGAATGACAAGGTTGAACATTTACAGACATTCTAAACCTGACAAAGCAAAATAATGTCTGATGAACTGTGGACACCACTCCTATGTAATCTCCAAGCAGATCATACGGTGGCAAGGCAGTATCCATTGACCAGAGGAGTGTCAATTAGCCACCTTCGGTGGGGAAATAGATACTGTCTGGCAAATGGATACAGGCTGGCAAATTTCATACTGTCTTTTCCCACCGAAAGATCTGCTTGGAGATTTCTTCTATGTAGTCCAATGCCTTCGAGATGATTGAAGAGAAAGAAATGCCTGTGGCAGTTGTCAAGAGTCCGAGTAGTTTACTCCCTACTTCATGAGAGCTGACTTATTACTACATACCGTTTGTTAAGTGGTAAAAGATAGATTGGTTTGGTTGCTTGCTGTCGTTGATTTTTGTTAATTGTAGTAATATATGGTAAAAGTGATGTTTACACGTAGACAATGACACGAAGTGAGTTGTGCGTAATTATCGTAATATCGCATTTTAATAACCAGGCAAAACTACGCCGTCATCAGTGTAATTGTCATGAGCTTTTATAATTTCAATGATATACATACATAGGTTTGACTTATTCATATTCTAGAAAATACATGCTGCCATATTCATATGCATTTACAGGTAGTATGATACTTGTTACATGTGGCTATCATATTGTTGAAAACAATTGATGGGGAACTGATTACTTACCAATAGTAGTCTACGTGTATGTGGCATTCTAACAAGCTTGCAGAAGTTTTTTGTCTTTGAGATGTTAAAAGGCAAGAGATCTAGAACTATACGTTTGTGTTTGACATATAGTAATGGAATTTCCCCAATAGCGCTTGTGTTGACTTTATAGATATATTGTATTAGATACAGAAAATGCAGAACTTTATATCTTCTCTGTGGAATCAATTTTTTTCAATTTGTACTCGATTGAAAACTGTTATCATGTATCATTTTGATGAAAAATTACATATACAATTTACTCACTGACAAAATTCAATGATACTCTTAACCTTATGATAGTACAAAGCCTATTGTTAATATGCCTAGCGGTATCCCACAGGTCTGTGCGCCTTTCCCACTAAGTCGTAATCATAGTCGTTTGATGACTCCTCAGTTGGCGGTGTCGAAGTTTCCTCTTCCTCCGGCGCTGGCGGAGTGGGAGAATCCACCAGCCGATACAGCTCGATCAACTTATTCTCAGTGTCCTGTTGCCGCTTCTCGAACAGCGCTAGCTCGTCCTCCAGAAGCTGCGATCTGTGCCTCTCCCTCTCCAGCCCCTGCCCGAGCTCGGAGACGGTCTTCGACAGTCGCTTGATCTGTCGCTGGTACTTCGGCCTCAGCTTCTTCGAATTCTCGTGAGACCTCGTCTCGTATCGCGAGACCTCGCTGGAGAGGTCTCTGACCTGGGAGTTCAGGTAGTGATTTGATGCGATGGCCTGTTGCAGGTCGGCCTCCAAGTTGTAAACTCTCTCCGTTAAGTTGGCAATCGTGTCTTGCACCTCCTGTGGAATTCCCACCTCGCCCCTCTCTTCGTTTACCCTCCTGTTATGGAAGAGATTGGAGAGAATGTGTGAAGCAAACATCAAAGAGAGCTCGTCTTCGAAACTATGCAGGTTATGTTCGCCCAGCCTGACCCAGTACCCCCGGTTGGGTGGTGGGACGTCTCTCTGCTTCAGTTCTTGCTCGGTGTTCGCCACGGCGGTCTTGACTCGCGTCCAGAAGTCCGTGAGAATCGTTTCCTGCTCGGAGACGTGGGAATTTCCCGGCTCAGCGGCGCAATCCGGACAGGGCTGCTGCGAACCCGCGCAGAGGAGGATGTAATTCAGAGCTGTCGTCACGGTAAACATCGCGAGAAATCGCGAGAATGTGGTCGCCATTGTCATCGTCGTGCTTTCAAGTCTTGATTCTTCCAGGACAATGATTAGGTTCAATATATTTTGTTTTTCAGGCCTTGCTTTCTTAGAAAAAGTTTCACATCTTCGCACTCCTGATGTATCCGTTCCAAAACTGTTTCATCGGGTACTACATCTCAGAACCTTTCCTGTTAAACACATCAAAAAAACAAAAATTCGGTCAGTACTGGTATGAATATCAAGAAATCTACAGATGCAAAGAAACACACATTTCTCAACATGTTCTATGATAAGCACATCCGTATATTTGACCTGGCCTTATAACCTAGGCGCAAGTATTGCTAAACCTGCCAAAGGGGCCTGCTTCTTTTTAGATCTGACAGAAAGAACTTGTGAATCATAAGCTTGAGAAAGAATTTAATTGTTTGTGAAGGTCTTGTATTTCAGCTAAGATACTTTTAAAAACGTTGAATTCAGGCAAAATTCCTGACACGAGGACATCATCAAAATTAAACCACTCACGTCGTCTCTTTGACTCGTCAAACTGTGACAGTGTAATAAGAAAACACTGGCCTTGTTTTTGACACGGCGTCAGGAATGCGAACTATTTTTTTCGCCGCGGATCGCGACTAAACGGCAAAACAAGCCGCGGCCTCCTCACAAGTCGCAGTTCGGGCTGCAGGCGCGTCCTCCAGTAAACCCAGAAGTTCGCGGGTGGGAAGTTTAACGGTTTACCTACGGAGTTTGGTCTCCATTCATATTGACTTATCGACGGGGAGTCACTACCGCTAGCGTTAACCACGATATCCTTCCCCTATAAACAACTTGACAGGATGTTAGCGGGGAGAGAGATGTCCACTTACACCCACGTAATGACTTGTCAAATAGAATTACTAGTACTTGTTTATAAGGATGTCTAGAGATAGAGATCCTTCAGGGCATCCAATGCGGGGCGGCAATACAAAATATATATATTCTGGATGAGGAAATCTTTCTGATGTTGACATTTGCTATACATTTTTTAACATTCAGCCCTTTATTCCCAACATTTGTTTATGTAGAAAATGTTCAGAAACTCTGATACCGTTTCACATCGGAACCTGCACATGTGTGTGTGTGTGCACGTCTGCAAAAATAGAGGGTTATTTTCCCCTATTCCATCTTTAACACAGCAGGTTCTGCATAACCATCGCCATCTTGTGGGGAGGGGGGCATTTGTCAATGTCATGTCATTCAAGTATGCCGTGCATGACAGACATTGTCCAGTACGTTGGTGCGAACTGTGACATATATCAGATGATGGTGATTGAGATTTTTCACCTTGTGCACGATAAGATAAGAAAAGTTAGTCATGCGATGATCCCTAGAAAGATGCAGGAAATGGACAAGGCCATCATGAAACGTTAAAGTTTACAGTTTCGGGGCTTTCCAAGTCAATACATTCTATTCACTTACCTAAACGATATAGTAAGTTGGAACGACACTATCCCTAAGTATATTGACATTCATGGAGCAAAACTGAGATTCTGTTAAGTGCTAAGAACTCATTGAAAATCATGGTATTACATATGGGGCACTACCTAATTATTTCTGCGCTGTTTCAAACGCCCAAATTATGAAATACTGATGTAAATGTGCTAATGTGAGGCAGTATGTGTCAATATTGTACAGATTGCTTTATTCCAAATATTTCCATTTTTGCGGCCCTGAAATTGCATTCTTGCCTTTAAAAATGTCACTAATTACTAATTAATCAATAAATATCATAAAGTCCATGTTATATATTTTCACCTTTGGAGCGCAATGGATATAATTTTTATTTACACACCGTAGCCTCATTCGGCGTAGTATAGTCACTGACACATTAGGCTATAAAGATATTTTCGTCAGACAATACAAAATGACACCACCGTTACATTTTTGGGGATAACAGTAGCTACAACAGACTAACATTGTAGTAAAGTAATATCATTATTACGAGATGATATGGCTCTTCTCCAATGATGACTGATTTTACTTCAAATTCAAACTTCCTGTAATACAAGGGATGTCGTTCCTTAGCCCATTGAAGGACGTATCTTCTACAGGACGCTAGACGCTAGACACAGTACGTTCAGGTTCATTTTCGACAAGCACAATGGACAGTCGACCACATATACGTACAGTCTAGCGTCTCGTCCCAAGGACCGCTACCCTTCGAGAGACGACAGCCAGGATTCGAACTCCCAACCTCTTGATCCAGAGGCACTAACCCTGCCGCTAGACCACGCGTGAAACAACAATGAAACCTTCCCTAATATCCAACCCTGTACGTGTCGCGACTTTTTCTCAGGAAAATTTATCCCTATCAGCACCTTTTCCTTTCCGCCTAGTTACCCACCAGCTAACGAGCCCTGAGCCTTGTTTTATCCCGGCCAGACGAGCCCATGTGTGCCGCGGATTTTCCGGTCGGCGTGACTCAGGTAGGAAATATCAGAAACCAGGGCTGCCGGTTTCCTCAGTGTCAAACATTATCGCTGAAGAAAAACATGTACTTCCACACAGATGTTATCTAAAACATTTACCTAGCAACCGCATGTACGCGCATGCATTGTCGACTTTGTAAAGCCAAGTTCAGATTGTTTTCTACAATGCGTGTTTGCCACTGTTTGATTTTTTTTATTAAAAATTGTTCAGAACGCTAGTAGTTGTCATTGCGGTTCAACAGTAGCCAAATAAATATACCCAGCTCGGTCGAACCTACGCACACGTTAAAGGCACCCAATGCAATTTCAGGGAGGCAAAGCAAGAAATATTGTAGATGAGTTAATCTGTCTGAAATTGACATTTACTGCCATTTCTTAGCGCATTTCTTAGCACATTTACATCATTTTATAATTTCATTTCAGTAAATAGCCCAAATATTTAAAATTCAAGCTACGCGATGAGTCCCATTATTTTTGGCAACACTAGAAAACCACCTACGATGCGCAACCGTTTTCCGCCAGGGACATCGCTTTTTGTCTCACAGATATCAGTTCCTTGAATATCTTTTAATAAGAATGAAGACCTTTATTGTACATTTTTCCCACACTCGGCTAAGTATAGGTCACAACAAAACAAGATGAATTGATACAGTTAACAGATACAAAAGTAACTAACTATCGTTATATAAATTCAACTTCTCGTTTTTCAGTTATTGTGGAAATAAAGGAACAGACCTGTTTTTTCGATGGGTAGTTTGTCAGTGTATGCTATGATATAGGGTTGATTAAACTTCTTTTTAATATATATATACAATAGAGATTGGCCGGAAAATTCACTCCAAATGTTACATTATAAAGCAGGCCTGTTTAACTTTTCACCTGTTTCGTTATGTTCACAGAGAAGCCTGCAGAGAACCTGTTCCCTAGGCACTATGGGAAAGTTGACAATGGTCAAAGTTTTCCTGTTGTTTTGCCAAAATGTTGGTCATCTGTGGCATGACCCCAGGTGACCTCACAACCACCAGGTCTCCTACTGTACCCTGCTATGTGAGGGTCTGAACACCTGCAGCCGGCATTTCGCCCCATGCACACCCTCATATGTGGGGCCTACGAAAAAAATTATGTGTTTCCAGTTTCAGTCCTGAAAAATTAGAGCCGGTACTTAGGGTCTTTATCTTTCTTTTTTTTTTATTAGACTTTGGCAATCTCTAGTGATCCAACTTATACAATGCACTTTAACAACGTAGAACGTGCATGACGACACTTGTATTTTCAATGTCAATGTTGGAAAACTGATTGTACAACGTTTTATCATTCAGGTGTCAGATCATGGAGCTAGAAAAGGTCGGTCAGCTCGAAAAATCATGTCCGTTGCAGGAGTCCAACCCCAAAAATAAAAGGTTAGGGTCGGCAGGTTTTTCTAGGGTCGGTCGGCCTAAACAGTCCCGTTGTGCATGTAAGATAAGATACCCATCTGTCCAGGGAGGCTGCCACTCTACAGCCATGACACTAATCCGGAGCGAAAGGTTGACTGCAGGTGTTCAGGACCGTCCCTAACGTCTGCCAGTACGAGTTTTACGGAAGACTGTTCTATCTAACCGTCCGATATTTTTCAAAGCGCATACCGACGCTATATTGACCGCCTATCTGTGTAGTGGCTCTCTCTTGTGTCTAGTCTCCACAGATGTTTACACGTACTCACAAACACACACGTAGCCTGGTATTCACACTGATTCGTGGTCGGGGCCGCAAGAGCTCTGTCCCGCCCGCCTCACATAGGTTTCCCGGTGTGTATTTCACGAGAGATTGATTAGCCCTTCAAATCCCCAAGCATACTGTCTCTTATTAGCGTAACACTCCTACCGGGACGGCCTGTTGCACTGGGCGGGGGAAGCTATTAGAGCCCCCGAAGGCACAACCTGCCTGAACACCACAATACCCCCAATCACGTAAGACTGGAGACCAGGCTTACACACACGCGTACGCTTTTTGATCTTTATTTCATTCATTCTTTATTTCAGGTAAAAAACCCATATAACATGTACAATACATCATTAAAATAATACAAAAACACTACAGACATACAAGTAAAACAGGAAGAAACCTAAAAGCATAACAAATGGTAGGTCTTCCGAAAGAATGAATTCCTGTAGAAGGCATCGGAATTAATTAAGCGACAGATTGTTGCGTTATTGGAGGAAAATAACCTTTTTAGAAAAGAATAACAAATTCTCCTCCTCCTGGTTTCAAAAGTGTCAATATAGTTACAGACAAACATTTCACTCGCGCTGCAACGCCGAGGCAGATTCATTTCTGATTCTAAAACAATTATTATAAGCCACTCTGCACTTATACAAAACACCAGAGCTTACAGAGCTCCATAACTGGGCGCCATATAGCTGGGCGCAATACGTCATAAACAGGTGTCTCTTAACAGATGGAGAGCAACAGAAAAATTTGCGGTTGATACTGTTTGCACGACTATAAAGACTCCTCAGCATAGCAAGTACACAATCATCGTCACTTAATGTGGTATTTAGGTGTATACCCAAATAGACAAATGAGTTTACGTACTTCAGGTTGGTACCGTATAGACTTACAGGTGGCAAAACTATATATTTATAACGTCTGGATTCTTTGTTTCGTCCTAATTGTTAAGTTTGTCTAGAAACACATTTTTCCTTTGGTCGAGCTGGATGCCATGTAGTACGCTGACACGTGTTATTTACACCATCAACATGTTCCCCTGTTTTTCAACAAACAATGGACTGTGTTTACCTCAAGGCAGTTTTCTTCATCTCTTAGAGGAAAGACAGATGAGGAAGACAATTGGTGGTACCAGCATCTTCAATCAGTTTGGGAGGTTTTATGGAGATTCTTTCTTAGATTTCAGACAGGCGGATTGATTTGGGACGCTTCTGTCTTTATGTGATGTGGTCCAGTTGTGATTGGCAGAACTCGGATCTTAGCCTCTAGCAGACTAACAACGAGGGTTCAAAAACAGTAGAATTTAGCCAAATGGGGGAGAATGACTGACCAGAGGAAGTTTGACCACCGTAGAGTTGATTCTCCTGCTTCTAAGGGCAAAATTAAGTTTCCCAGGTGTATAACCTTGTCACAGAAATTAAGAGTTACATTAAAAGGAAAAAGTAAAAAGCGAGCCACGAAGTTAGAAAAATTATTAGAAATTCATATCCCCAAAACATGGTTTTTGGTGCATTCTGGACAAGTTATATCGCCATCTATATATGATAACTTCAAAATTTACCATAATTTGAGTTTGATACACAATTTATTAGATATACAAAAGGTGCAGTCATTGAACTAAGAATGACATTACCCTTCAACAGTTGTGTAAATATGTGCTCTTCATAACATTGTGACATTTTTCTACTCTCCTGGTCAATTATTTTTCCATTTTTTTATCACCGAAGCGGTAAGGCCTGGCGGAGGCTAACTTGATCGATGAAGTTCGGCCAGAAAAAAAAGACGACTGCCATTGTCTTTGCTAAGAAAACTATTGTATATGTCCATACTATATACTAATAGCTATGTCCACGTTCCATTTCTCATTTGTTGATGCGTGGTTAAGCACACATGGAGGGTTACGGACAAATGAACCCACCAAAATCGTTACAACAGCGGCCATGTTCACATTCTATCGGTACTGAGTTTGACACGAAAATTGATTACAAAAAGCTTTCATCTGACGTGGAGCAAACGTTTGAGATAAATCACTGAGGCAAGTCCTCTTGCTAATGAAAACCTAGCATAAAACTGAATAATTTTTATCGTAAGTACCATTCAGACGTTATCACAACTGTCATTAATTTATCGTACGGAAAATTCAGGGGAAAATTCAGGGGACACGACAGTATTTCAGCCTTGTCACAAAAATTAAGAGTTATATTAAAAGGAAAAACTAAAAGGCGAGCCACGAAGTTGAAAAAAATTAGAAATCTATATCCCTAAAACATGGTTTTTGGTGCATTATGAGTAATTTATATTGCCAACTATATATTATAACTCCAAAATATACCATTGAGTTTGATGGACAATTTAGATATACAACAAATGCCGTTTGAACTAAACATGGCTTTACCCTTCAACGGTTGTGTAATGTGCTCTTCATAACATTGTGACATTTTTCTACTATCAATACAAATTTCTACGGCCTAGTACTCACAGTCGACAGGATGGTCAGTCCAAATCTAATCCAAAGTAAACCTGACGATCGACCGCCTAAGCTTGTCCTCCCTAAGCCGGCGGAAAGTACTGTATACCAGGGTATAGATTTTCCGTACGTCCGGCCTGTATCCCACGGACTAACACAAGTGGTGTGTGCGGATGGATTTTCAGCTCGGCCCCGCCACCAGATGGTGTTTGCTCGTAAGGCCACAGCAAGTAATTTTCATGGATGACATCACCGCGCGCATTGATTTTCGTTTGATGTGGGAAAATAAAAGGAAATTTTGTTACCCTCTGACAGTGGTCAACATGCCGAGGATGTCTGTTGCCATGCCGGAACGTGGATGGCAGATAAATATGAAGAGACGAGACAAGACAAGGCTCTGATTTAATGTTTGTCTTTTACTTTGATGCAGTGATGTATTTCATCCCTATTATATGTGATGGTGTCTGTTGATATGTGATGTTCCCACTGAACCGAAATCATTTGTACAATGATTGAAAAGTTGTTTCAGTGAGAAATGGATGTTGTAATACTAGTAGTCAGAAGTAAACTTAGCACAATGTAAGTATCATTTCTTGTTTAACAAGGTTTACGATGTCAAAATCTAAATTTTTTGGGCCCGTCTTGCTTTTTTGGGCCTGTCTTGTTTTTTTTTCGCCCGCTCGCATTAGATTTGGAGTCTGCGGAGGATGTCATCCATAAATTTTACTTGCAGTGGCCTAACGTCTGTTATAGAGCGAATGGGAAGGAGACAGGTCACGTGATTGACAAAGGCCAAGACCTTTCAACATAGGAGTCATGCGAAAGAAATACTGTATCCTTATTCTGCGGTTCTGAATATACAAGCTCTTCTATATACTCAGTATACATTTATCATGCCTCAAATTGGCATCTGCAAGTAGCCAATGCATTGACCGCTTTAAATAATTAAAACGTGTAATTGTAATTAAAAGTCTCAGAAGTTTTAAATCTAAAATAATTACTTGACATTTCTCACATGTTTCACGAAATCCGCATAGTTCGTTAGTGACTTGAAAGGAACAGTTGAAATTGCTAGAGATCAAACCGCCAAGTGAAGGAAGTTGAGCACACATTATTTTAGGACAACTTTTTTTTTAAATTCTCGATGCCCAATGCAATTTCAGAGAGGCAAAGCCCCCAAAAAATTTCTGATAAGGAAATCTTACTGATATTGCAATTGACATTTACTGCCATTTCTTGGCACTTTTTCGTCATCATTTTGTACTTGAAGCGTTAGCAATATCCCCAAAACAAGCTGTGCGAGGCGTCTCCTTTTTTTTTGGCACCACCAATAAATAGCTAGAACCAGCATACAAAACAAAACAAGCAACCGTTTTCCGTCAGTGACATCGGATTTTTGCCTCACAGATATAAACTTGTATGTTATGGTATAGGGTTGATTCGCTTTAATGAGTGGTTATATCGTTTTCAAAATCAACTGCTTTCAAGGTACATGTACACGTATTGTACATAACGTTCCCATGTGCCCCCCTCCCACCTTGTTTGGTCATCTGGTATTTACGCCTGTCAAGGTCACGTCGCGTTTGCATGCTCGTAGCCAGGATTTTGAAGGGGGAGAGGGGTTTTACCAAGGTTTGAGGGACCAGGAAGCTCGCGCAAGGGGAGCGCAAAAGGCACGAGTTTCCTAGGCCTAGGGGGTCAGGGTGCATGCTCTCCCGGGAATTTCGAAAATTGAACCTTCTGAAATGGCATTTATTAGAGGTTTTCTAAGGAAAAATGATCAGACATAACTTTTTATTCAATGACAAATTTTGCAGTTTTTCTACAATTCCAGCCCCGCTGGTGATACAAACCAGTGCACCTTTTACTTTAAAGAAAAATCTTGAACTTTAGATGAAAAGTGGACCTTTGAGAGCCCGGGGGTTCTTCCAAA